TGATGGTATACCCTCTTTCTCATAACTGTAGCATCTCTACCTGTTTCTATATTTTGAGGCTTTGCTTTTGCTGTTCACTCTCTTCTACTCTTTCTAAATCCAGCTTTTACTGATAGATGTCATATTACTGGGTTTTTTTTATCACTTCCATTTCCTCGAACAAATGAACTACCTATTTCCTCCTGCAGAGTTCTTTTTTTCATTGTCTCTGATTTGCTTTTCAAGGGACTTGTTGAATTTGCTCCTGTAACCTGCGTCATCCTCTTATCTTCCCTCTTCAGTTGTCAAGAAGAAGAATTTACAGGTCACACCGGTAATAGTTTTCCTAATAATGTTGACAAAAACCTACATTACACTTAAATAAAAGAACAAAATGTATATTCATGAAAAAAGAGAATTTAAGAAGTAGAATGCAGAAAAAGGATAGTTTATATATAGGTAGTATGGTTTGTAAATAGAGGGTGTTAATGGATTTATGAAACAGTCCATCAATTACAATACAATGCCTTCATTCCTCCCCCCTGCCCCCTCCCCAGTAGTAAAAGAGTGTAATTTAGAAATCCCCATGGACAAAAACTTGGGATATGAAACTGCTTAAATTAGTTCCTTATTCAAAGTTTTATGATGATAAATTGCAGTAAAAATCATGTTGTAAATTGACTTTTTTCTCCCTTTGGAAATCAGCCTCCTGAGGACTAGCTATGAAGTACAGATTTTAAACCTTGGGTGCCTTCTAGTGACAGAAAAAAAAATACAGACAAATACAATTAAAAAAAAAAACTATTCATAGAAACAGAAACAAGCCATTTGGGCTGATCCATCCTGCTTGGTCCTATTCTAAACAAAACCCCAAAGTTAGCAAACACATCTTAATATGCAATTCCATTCAGATGCCCTGAAGTTGGGTGGGGGTGCTTCACAGTGGATAGAATATGAGGGTTTTGTTATACCCTGTGGATCACTAATTTTACTATTTTTTTAAAAAAAACAAGTTTTATTGATTTTCAAAACACACAAGTCATCATTTTCCATTACATGTTTAAACCTTTTTCCATTATAAATTTAACAAGTCAGGTACTATAATTCTATTTTAAACCATTTCCATATAAACATACAAAAACCTCTTATCCAATTTCCCTTTATTTCTCTTCACTCTTATTCAATTTTATTATTATTATTTCATCTACTTCTTTCTGACTTAGTTACCATTATTCTCATTCTATATTTCTACAAGGTTTTATTAATTTTCCCCCCCAAAAAACAACATAATCACACAACACACAAAACATATAAAAGATCTTTTTGGAAAGTAACTTGGACCCAGGTATCTCTCTTTTCATGGACTTCAATTATATTCAGGCTCATCTTACATATCATTACTTATTTTATTTACCATTCTAAGTCTTCTATATTAACTTCTCCACATATTTCACTCTTCTTGATTCTATCTTAATTAATCATCTTAATTTGAGTCATTATATTTATATCTTTTGTCCATTCTCTATTATACCTTTGTCTCATTCCTTTTAAAAAGAAAGAAATTTCTCCTGAAATCACTAATCAGAGTATGATGCCTTTCTATCTCCCCACTAAATTAATCAAATTAATCTTTAAAATACCCAATCCGATTTTGCTTGGTACATTCTAACTGAATAATACATCTAAAACAATTAAATACCTAGTTAAGCAATAGATTTAAATATTAAAAACAAAATACTATAATGAAAGTTTTATAATAACATCAATACCATAATCTTAATAAACTCTTTAATTAAAGTTTGATATTCTAAATCTCCCCTATTATATTTTCAAACCAATCATTATTAACATTCCAACATTTTAATCTCTTATCAACTCTCAAACCATTTAAATTTTCTATTTCTGATACAATACTACAATGTCATCTTATGTACCTTGCAAAATCTCTTTGAAGAAATTATACTTATCCTTTATCCCTAAAAAAAATTTCTTTTTTCTCATTTAATTTCAAAACTTTGTAACTTTTCTCCACCTTTTCTCTTTCTTTCTTCCCCCAACAAACCTTTCTAGCCCCCCTTCTAGCCCCCCTTCTTCTAGCCTCTGCCTTACTGGCTTCCCTTCTCTGTCGCATTCCTCTTCCCTTTTGTTTACCATCCTTATATTGATTTTGCACCTTGTTTTTCCCTTTCTTAAATGTTTTTTTAAATCTTAAGTCCTTTATTTCTCTTCTTTTTCCTCTTCCTTCCCTCTTGGTCGAGTTCTGAGATTTATTAAAGATGGCTTCCTTTCTTTGTTCTTCTGCTGTCTTCATCTATTGCAATGTTTGTTGATAATTAATAAGCGCCATTTCTAAAAAAAGGAAGGCTTCTTTCAAACCAGCTTTACCATTTTGTTTTGCTTGCTCATAGTCTTTTCTCAGTTCCTCAATAGAAGAAGCCATTATAAATCTTTTCTTTTCTTTTCTCTTACAACAGCCAAAATATTCCAAAAGAAAAATAAGACAATCCCAAAGTTCTCAGTCAGTCCAAACCAAGACAGAGTTCCCACTCTCTCCTCCTGGGGTAGTATCAATTAAAGAAAAGGAAAGTCCAAATCTGTTTCTTAAAGTCTTATTACAATATATTTTAGTCTTTCAATCCTTAAGGCATCTCCTCCAACAAAGTCTTAGCATACAAATATTTTTTTTTAAGTCCTCTCTTTTCCCACTCACCGCTTAGAGCCAGTTTTCACCTAAAAAAAAATAGGTTTCTTAATGTTCACTTTTTATTCCGTAAAAAAAGAGGGTAAGCTATCCTTTCAGCACCATCAAACTGCCGCTTTTTTCCTCTTCTCGAAGGTATCATTCAGAAAGTCATACTTTTCAGGAATTTTGTTAAATATGTCTTAGAGTCCTAGGAACCTAGAAAAACTTTCTCCTCTCAAGCACTTTCTCCACTTCCTCTACTATTTAAGCTAACTTTTCAAAATAAGATAACTGAGAAATATATCAGATTGTTTTCTGAAGACTTTTATATCTAAGATGAACTCCTACTGTATTCAAATAAATATTCCAAACTATTGCCAGAGAGAGAAATCTACTTTCCCGACAGGAAAACCCAGATCCTATTTTTTTATATTAGTGCATGCTTGCAGGAGCAGTTCATATAATAACCCCTATTATATGAGCTTGCCCTGAATTCTAAAAGCATTCTTATTAGTTTCTTTGTCTTGGCAGTTTCTATGTACATCCGTATTTTCTGTAGCTAAGGTTGCTCTTTAAAAAAAATCACCCACTTATTAATTGCAAATCTCATCATTTGTCTTAATTTCTTCGGTTATATTTTAAAAAAACCCTCCTCTGAACTGAAAGGATTTTACGGTGAGCTGGGGATGAGTTCTGAAATTGTTTTGCTTGCAACATTACCTCTAGAACACTTTGAACTACTTCCTGTTTGAAGTATTTACTTCCAGAATATGCCAAACTGTCCTTTGTCCCTAGGATGACTTAATCTGGAGGAGGGAACAGCATAATCCAAAAGGAAACAGAACATGCCAGATGTCGAGTGGTTGCTTCCTGAGCTGATGAGCTTTGCACATTCTACATAGGAGACATATACTACATATTTTCTACTGTAGATGCTTCTCATAGCATACTTAATGGAGAAAAATATATGTCTATTTTCTTGCAAAAAAAGGATTATAGTGTAATTCAAAAATATTCATACCACTGCTTCTGATGCTGAAATTACTGCAACACACTCAATTTTTGTACCAATTGCAGAGCCATTCTATAAGAGCAATCAATTGCAAGAAAAGATCACCAAATATAATCATCTGATTATTGATTGTGGTGCATCAAGTTATTTTCATAAATTTTCTCCATATAGGCTAACACACCATTTCCTTCTAGCTTATAGTGCTGATTGTGCTCCACTATAAAATATTTCCTGTGTCCATCTCCTTTCTGTCTTGTCCTAAAGGTGCTTTTTCAGGAGGCAACTGGACTTTCTTGTTTCTTCTTTGAAGACAAAGAAAAGGAAAAAGGAAAAAAAGTCCAGTTGCCTCCTGAAAAAGCACATTTGGGATAACCATAACCTGAATAACTGAGAATCTGTATTCCTTTCTGTCTTGTGTGGACAAGTCTTTCTTTTAAATTAATATGAATTTTTGGACTGAAAAAATTGATTAGAAACTAATCTGATTTTTTTTTAAAGTTCTAATGATCTAACAGGTAATTATTCCAAGGTAATGCTAAGTTTTGCAAGTGTGCATAGAATAGCAGCCCTTTTTTTAATAAAGCTTCCTTCCTTCCTTCTTATAGATGGCATTGTTTAATCAAAAGAATCTGACCCTGCTGGATTGGAGAGGTTGGGCAGATGACAAAGGAGATAACCAGCACTACATCTGGTATGGCTTTATAAGTAATGGCCAGCACCCGCAGAACCAAATTGGCAACTAGTGCAGTTCACATAGGAGCTCTGTAATATTTAGTCATGTCTATCACCACCAGTGCATTCTGGACCAATTAAAGTTTCTGTGTGGTCTTCAAGGACAGCTCTGTGTAGAGTATGTTGCAATAGTCAAGCTGGCACATCACACAAAAATTTTCTCCTACAAGGATCATTAGGAGGATTTAAGGATTTCAAGAGGACTTTAATTACATCTCTCTCCTACTCAGTGATCCAGAAGCAATTAAGATTTCTGTTCCATGCTGTTTTTTCAGAAATGTGCAAACAAGCACAGTGGAGCCAAGGATTACCCATGACTTGTCAGATTCCAAGATGTATTCTAAAGTGTGTTTTGGTGCTGTCCAAAATTGAATAAAAGGCTTTGTTACAGAACAGAGCTGCTACTTGACAGGAATAGGTTCTATTGCCTTGCACACATTTCTGCATCATCACTAAGGTTCATTCTCTGTAAGTAATTTCAAAATGCATTTAATAACAAGTTCATTGATTCTGTTGTCTTTGTAATAGACAAATCTTTACAAATTTATTTCCAATGTTTCACCGGGTTGGAAAGAATAAAAAGTAACATAAATCCAGTTATTTTATTGCCTTATGTAATAAATTATACAAAGTTTCATTTACAAGTTTTGAACATTCAAGAGAATAAACCTGGAGATTAAATACCTGCCCTATTTAACAAAGTATACTTCTTCAAACTAGATTATTTGTTTAGGCTTACTGTCCAAATGTTAAAGTATTTACAGCTGTGTTTTGTTCTTTGTATAAGGTTTCTGCTCTGTTCTTTAAAGTTTCAGCCTTGGCATCATTCTTCTCAACTCCATCCCCCAATTTGTACATTCGGCTAGCATTGGCACATCCCCACATGTGCCCTAAGTCACATGCTTTTAGAGAATACTGCAATGCTTGACTCATATCCTTTGATATGCCAGGAGCTCCTTGAAGATAAATAGTACTTAGGTTGAAACAACTGGGGGCAAAATCACTGTCACAAGCTTTACTATAATAGTCCCTGGCTAAAGGGACATTAGGCTTCTCATCCTCGTTTACTTGTCCATCTTGTACCAATAGTCCAGCACTGTGACAAGCATTGATGGATTTCTTCCCACCTTTTTCACAAGATTTCAAAAAACATTGGTAAGCAGTTTTCACATCTCTTGGAAGCCCACCTATAGGGAAAAAGCACCAGTTATTGAATGACATTATAATTGATTAGTTCATATAACACAATAAGCCATCAACCATGGTTTATAAAATACAGTTGGGTGAGTAGACATAAGCCTGCTCACATAATACATATTTCCTCAACATCTTTATTTGAATTGTCTTTTCTTTTAGAGATATCAGGAACAGGAAAAAGAAACATGTTATTACCTTTTCCAGTCAAATAGTAATGTCCAAGTTTGTAGCAGCTCTCACTGTGCAGATTATTTTCACAATTTTCCTTTAGAACTTTTGCAGCTCCTTCAAAGTTGACCTTTATCCCAGCTAGATAATCAGCTAAACGATGGCAACCTGCAATTTTTCAAGGGAATAAATCTATGATAAATTATTATTATACTACCGTATATTTCTGTTTGCAAGTTGTCCCATCCCTCTTTTTTTGCTTTTTTGATTGTATTATATTCAATTAGGACAATAGTGGATTTATCCTGCTAAAGTGGCCCAAAGAGTAATATACTGTAATCGAGTTCTGAACTGGAGATTAAATCAAATAGTTATGCAATACATGAAAGTTCAAAAGTTAAATCACTTGGGCAGAACAGAAATTAGATAAATAAATTTAAATGCTATTTTAGTACGGCTAATGTTATTTTTTGATTAATAACCTCAGATTTTGTCCATATGTAATGCCTCTTGTCAGAACCTAATCAAAACTCCCATTATATCATACTTCCCTATTCCATGGTTTACTTCCAAAGCAGTTTTGGAACAAGCCCACAATTCCCAAGGAAGGTATAGAATTATAAACATATATATTTGGGATCCCTAAATCCTAATTTGAACTTTTTGTGTAATTATGCCCATGTGGTTTATTTTGTTACTCACTCCATACTAAAGATAATAAGAAAATATAGTTATGCCTGGAGATGGGTACAGAAATTAATACATAAAAATACTTAAATTATTTGAATTAGCATGAATAGCAGGTCTGCCTTCCTCCTAGAAGCATTTTTCAGTGGTACATCCCTAAGTTATGCATTCAACAAAATAACAGGAATTCATACTTCAAAATAGTGATCCATATATTAGATACCATCATATCTCTATACTCTAGCAAATATCCTAAGTAAATGGAGTGGAAAATCCATTCCATCCCCGGGAATGCAAATAGACATAGAAAAAAAGGAGAAACCTTTCGTCTACTAAATTCAGCCTGTAATGCTACAGTCTAAGTGAATCGATCTTAAAAGCATTCAGATAATATCTACAGAATTCACTGTATAATCCTTTTGAGATATAAATTACACTGCAGTCTTCGCGACCATCAATTTCTAGCGCTGCTCCGACCTTACCGTCAGGATCGTGCTCCTTGTAGCACTGGAAACTATATTCTATTCCCAGATTTTCCAAATAAACTTTCACCTCCTCTTCATCTTCGAAATTGACCAGTCCGGACATTTGTTCTTCAGGACAGAAAGATAAATGAGAACGAAAAACACAGCCCGCCTGCGCAATTCGCGCGGGAAAATGGGGGGGAAAATGAAAGCGTCCTTCAATTCTCGCCGTCCTTTCTTGCTACCCGGAAGAAAATCGGGGGCGGACGCAATCTGAAGGGCAACTTCCTCTACATAATTTTACCGGAAGGACCGAGGTTGGAGGGGTCTACAATGAATTGTGGTTGTATAAATTCCACTCGGAAGTAGAAAAATTACCCCGGAAGTGGTAACGCTGTTGTTCCCAAAAATGATTATATCAGGAAGTCAGCTTGTTTCAAAATTAAGTTTTTTATTTCTTCTTAATAAGCCTTTGTCAGGAACACTGCAAAGTGCTGCTGTCAGCGGCAAATTCCCGAGGAATAGTCGTGTCTGACAACGCTATCTTTCATGTTTTCTCAGAAGTAAAATTATTCAGTGGTTACTGGCTTTGTTCGCCCAGGAGAGTGGGAATGAGGCACACACCATTTAAGAACAAGCTCTTTTGAAATGTTGCTTATAATTATCAGAAAGCCTTGAAAATTCTTACATGTAAATATTTTAAAACACTCCGCGATGGTCTTTTTAGTGCAGACTGCCTTTAGGAGAATAGAATAGTAATATTCTGGACACTTCACTGTGATATATGGTTTAGTTATAACAAAAGTATGATACTGTGGGGTTTGAATATTTTTTCTTTGGTACTGGATTTAACTACTAATTTAGTAAGATCTGAATGTCAAACAAAAAAATGGGAAAGTTAGAAGTGTTTTTTCTCTCCTAATGGGACAGAAACATTTGTGATTTGTATTAGTATATTGTGGCTGTTCCATTCTTGTTCTTTTCACAATAGGAATTTGGCTTTGCTTGTCATCTATTCCAGTTTGTATTTGTGTTGCAATTAAAATATTACTGATAGCAACACCCATGGGATAATTTTGTGTGTGTATGAAAAGATTACCTAGTAATTGCATTCATGTAAGTTTCATTCTGGTATACATATTTGTTGAAATGGATTATTCTAATTCTGAACTTCTTAGGCTACCAATCAAAAGGCTCAGGCCACAGGGGTGTCCTAGGATTCCCTCCCCCCCAGGAATTCTTTCTTCTCAGCAGCCCTCAGTGGATTTTCAATTTTCACCTTTTATTGTCTTAATCCTATTCTGTTCTGATTTTGGAGTTATCCTGTTGTGCGTGATTTGAGCCCTAAATCCTTTTACATAATTTCTTTCCAACATATTTCAAAACATAATTTTATGCATGTTTTTCAGCATGAAGGGTGTGTGTCATATACTGTGGCATGCAAGTTGCAGGCTACAATGCATCCATTAAAAGTAAGAAATCCTGTAACCAGCTTGATTATTATGCCTACCTTTTGATGCTTTTGATTACTTGAAGTAAATCTAAAAAAGGCCATCAGGTGGCAGCTTTTGACTGTCATCTGAAGTTAATCATGAATAATAAATAATGGGACATCCATATGGATTGTAAGGCAAAATTAAAAAAAATGGCAGAAAACAAAGACAAGACATATAATAGTGGTTGTTCGGTGCCCAGTGTTGCTTTTTGTGATATGGGTGACTACTGTATATAAACCTAATAAATTAATAAATATTGCTAAAAATTACTTATAGTGTCCTGTGAATTCACCAGGGGCAGAGCTTGATGGAAGAATGTTTTGATCTTTAAATTTACAAGTGGCTCTGTTTAGTGATAGGAACCTGTTGTATGATATTTCTTCCCAAAAGATCAAGGAGACACCAATATTTTTATTACCTGGAAATGCTTCCAGGATTCTATGGTGGTTTTTTAAAAAAAATCTTTTAAATTTAACCATGCTCCTGACCATGGCTACATTTCCATGTGTGCTGCAACTTAATATTGTATGTATTTCAAAATGCATTCACACACTACCTGTCTGATGAAAAAAAGAAGCAACCTAAAAACACGATGTGCACAAATAAATTGGAGGGTGCGATTCAGGATACATTTGTGATTCGGGATTCTCCTGCGGTTATGCAGTAGCAAGGAAGGCTTGAATACTTACGATTTATATTGACTGCTTCCTAGTATGATTGATTGCTTATTGTACGCTATGACTGTCATTAAGTGTAGTACCTTATGATTCTCGACTCCTGACGAATGTATCTTTTCTTTTATGTATACTGAGAGTATTTACACCAAGACAAATTCCTTGTGTGTCCTATCACTCTTGGCCAATAAAGTATTCTATTCTATTCTATTCTACTCTGCACAAATGCCGGGACACTCTTCTTCTCCACGAATGACATCATAAATTCCAGCGTTGAACTGGAGGGGAGAGACTGACAATCATTCCATCTGCAATTTTACACACACACACACACACACCCTCAACTTGGAAACTAAAAACTCAGAGAATTCGGGACAACTTCCTTCGGAGCAGTTTCGTGGTGGCTCCGACGCTTTTGGGGGGAAAATTACTGGAGCCTTCCTCCAGCTTCACTTAGCGCGTCTCCTTTAAGGGCAAACAGCAGCCTAGCTTCCCCGAGAGCTTGTGTGTCTGCGTGTATGTGGATTTAATTAATGCCGGCCCCGCTGAGGCAAATTCACTTCCAGGTCGAGGGTGACAGCTAAGCTAGGGGGGGCCCCGGCTCGCTTCTGCACGGTGGTCGGGGCCCGCCCCACAATAGCACAAACAGGAGGCGAGGAGGACGCGGCTGAGGGGGCCCTGGCGCAGAAATGGTGAGTGGATGGCGGGCGGGGGCAGAGAATTGCCGCGGCTGCCTGAAAGGGACCGAGAGAGAAAGAGCCACATGGGGAGAGGGGGGGGGGGGGGAGAAATGGAAAAACCCCAGAGGGAGTACCCCTCTTTTAGTTTCGGATTTTGGAGTCTGGCGTAACTGCTTTCTTTTTTTGTCCCTCCCGATCTGTCACTAATGCGGATCTTGCCTTATTGGTCTCCAGCAAGCGGGCGAAGATGTCTCTGGGTGTTGTTGGGGAAAGGGACTTTGCTAAGCTTTACTCGACCTAATAGGGTAAACAAATGGTGTTGCGGTACCTGATCCCTCCCTGCCTCTGATGCCCATAAATACGGATCTAGTGGAATGAGGATAGTGGTAGAAATTGGTGGTGGTGGCGGCGGCGGCTTTTAGAAGCGATTGGAATGTGCAGCCGCTATTGGATTCCATTATGGCAAAGCATACATCTATCTATACACCCCGAAATTCTGGATGGCCACTGAAAAGGTGGCAAACACATCTTACTGTGTCATCTAATGGTAGTTTGGATTTTTGCAGCTGAAATACCATGGCTATACGGAAGATGTATCTCATGCTCAGTCAGGGGAATCTATCCCTGAGCTCTGTTGATGTGTTTGGGCCAGCAGACAGCTCCCTTCCATTACTACATAATTCTATGTACAAATGCTAATGGAATTGGAATCGGAATTTCTCATATAGTCTTGGGTTGAAACTCAAGGGAAGAGACATCAGTTCTTTTTTCGCTGTGACTCTGAGAACAGGTTGTTAAATTATAAAGAGTGGTATTCTAGGACCAACTCTCTTCATACTCTACATAAACGACCTCTGTGATCATATTAAGAGCAATTGCGTTCTCTTCGCTGATGATGTAAAGCTGTTCAATACTACAGACAATACTGCTACCCTACAAAAAGATGTTGACTATGTATCCGAATGGTCAAACAAATGGCAACTTCAAATCTCAACAAATAAATGCTCTGTCTTACATATTGGCAAAAAAAAATCAGAAAATAAAATACAAGCTGAATAGTCAAGACCTTGTTGATGACCCAAGCTCTGTAAAGGACCTTGGAATACTCACCTCTAATGATCTGAGTGCTAGAGCCCACTGCAACTACATAGCCAAAAAGGCATTAAGAGTTGTTAACCTAATCCTACATAGCTTTTTCTCTGGCAATATCACACTACTAACCAGAGCATACAAAACATTTGCTAGACCAATACTCGAATACAGTTCATCAGTCTGGAACCCACACTACGTATCTGATATTAGCACAATTGAGAAAGTCCAGAAATATTTCACAAGAAGAGTTCTCCACTCTTCTACTCGTTGTAGAATACCTTATGCCACCAGACTTGAAATTCTAGAACTAGAAAACCTTGAATTACGCCGTCTTCGGTCTGACTTAAGCATGGTATATAAAATCATACATTGCAATGTCCTACCTGTCAATGAATACTTCAGCTTCAACCATAACAACACAAGAGCACACAATAGATACAAACTCAAAGTAAACCGCACCAAACTTGATTGCAGGAAATACGACTTCAGCAATAGAGTAGTCAATGTCTGGAATACTCTACCCGACTCTGTAGTCTCTTCCCCAAACCCCAAAAACTTTAACCTTAGACTGTCTACCATTGACCTCACCCCTTTCCTAAGAGGTCTGTAGGGGGCGTGCATAAGCGCACCAACGTGCCTACCGTCCCTGTCCTATTGTTTCTCTATTCTTTTATTTTTCTTATATGTACCCATCTCATGTATTCACAACTATGTATACACTTATACTTATTATCTTGTAAACAATTGACAAATCAAATAAATAAAATAAATAAATAAATAAATAAATAAATAAATAGATTATAACATTTAGCTAGGTAGGGTGGCTAGTTTTTGTAAGGTGTAGTAGAAATTGATATAGTATAGTTTTGGTTAATAGGAATCCCTATTCAGTAAGAAAATAACTGTCAGCCTTATTTATGTGTATATGAGAGATATTGACAGAACCCTACAATAGATGGAAAGACAAAGAATGGTTCATGCAATATAGAAAATCCAAGGTTTGAAGCTGTAGGGAAACCCTTTGTGTGAAACTCATATAAACCAGTAAGTTGCATACAGTATAACCTACTATATAGTTTAAATTTCATTAGATATAAGGAATAGGGAAAGACTATATCATATTTGTTGAGAGATCTCTTTTTCTGTAATTCCTAAACCTATAAGAACACTGTCCTTTATGGCTGGGTTTTGCCAAGCTATAATGATTTTTCAGTCTAATCCATCCATAATCTGATGTTTGATGTGAATGGTAGTTTGAGTTAGGCTTTGAGCACTACAAGCTGAGCATTCATAAAGTAAAGCAAAATGCCTCCATTTACTTCAAGGA